AACCAATGGATCACATAAATTTTAAACTGAAGAACATTATACAATTTAATAATTAAAATAAATTACAATACCCTGAAAATAAAACACAATAAAAATAAAATGTGCTTGTAAAATAGCAATTCAAAATCACTAGTTTTTTTTTACCATCTGTCAGCCTGGTGCTGCTTTATGTTGGGAATAACTGAAGGTGGGGACAAAACAAAACCCCACATTATTGTCTGTTCAAAGTTAAGAGTCCACAGCTCCAATTTTACTGACTGTGCTCAAAACAACGTGATCATTGCACTTAATCTTCACTCAAACAAGTGTGTAAACAGACTAAACATCACTCTAATAGCAAGAGCAAAAAATAAATGGTAAGAATTAGTTAATTAAATTGATAGCTACCTTTCTTACTGCTGCATTTTCACTTTCTACAGTCATGTGGAGATTAGCCTTTCTCTCCTGCAGGGAGCAGTTTTTATCACTGCTCTCGTCACGTCGCTCGTATTTCAAAACAAAAGCTGCGCTCTTCCTTTCTTCTGTCCATCAATCCCAGAGATAATCCACGGGCGACATTCTGCTGATGTCAAAACCGTAAAAAGCGTGCTGTCCTCGCTTCTGCCCGCTAGAACCACTAGAGTGAGAGGAGGTTCTGCTCGATTGGAACCATGGAGTCACTTTTGGACCGAGGCTGAACCGAGCCGAACCACAAAGCTGCTGCCAGGGTGGAGAGTAGTTGTCGCTCCGGTTTAAAATGTTCACGGTTCTGTGCCCCCACGGAAAACTTGTGCGTGACAACTTTGCACTTAGCTTCAACGTTGTTTCTGATGAAAATAGAAAGTACTGCTGACATCGCTCCTACAGCTAACTATTTTGTTAGCGCACTGAGCGCAGCATGTTGTTGTGATCACGCGAGCGCTGCATGCTGGATCCAAGCGCTGCTGGATAGAAACACTGGAGCGGAGTCAGTGGACTGCTGGAGCGGACTGCTAATATCGGAGCGCTTATATCGGACATTTTTTATGCAGGCCGATAAAATCCGATACTTGTTTTTTGGCTGATATCGGACCGATATCCGATATCAATATCGGATCAGGACACCCCTAGCAGTAATACAAGTGAGTCTCACTTCTTCCAGCAGTTTAATGGTTAATTATGATTCAAATGAAGAGATGAAGAGAAACACCGACTGATGCTGAAATAATTTCAAAAGTAAAAATGTTTTGTGTCACTGAATCTGTAAATTATCTGAAATTAACTAAATGAACAAATTAAAATGAACAGCTGATCGCTCACTTACAATGATCGCCGCTGTACATTTACGAAATGACGAATGAGGTATTTTAATGCAAAGTAAAAAAGAATAAATATAATAATTGTATGAAACACTGATTTCTGATCAGACACTGCAAAAATTAGCATCTTAAAATAAGTTAAAATACTTGATTAAACTCTGAATCTTTTCAAATTAATAATAATTAATAATCTGCAGTTTGACAGTGGCACTTGGTCAAACTTGTAGAAATAAAGAAAACTTTTCAGGTTAACGAGATTAATAATCCAACATATTGGATCAGTTAATTACTTTCAGAAAATGATCAAGGAAAAATTGTTAAAGAAATATGAAATTGTTTAATTTGTATTAGTTACTGTCTGAGGAG